ATCCAAGTGTAATGTAAGCCAAAGGACGTTAACCAGATAGAGGGAGCCATTTGCTGCTAGTGAGAGACTCTATCCACACACCAGAACCATCGAGAACTGCAGCATCAAATCATACAAGAGACACCAATTAGCATCTACAAGAGAAGTGGAGAAAAATGAGAAACAACCACTGATCTAATAACAAAGACTTGAGACAGATCTTACTCCACTTACATGCCAACACGCTACACTCTTTCCCAGCATCCACCATGGTGAAAACAGCCCAACCAATCAGTAAGATCCACACAGGTGCCCACTAAATCCTCAAAGCATGTTAAAATGTAATAAGACTGGAAATTAACATTGACGTGCAATAAATATTAAAAAGAAAAGGCTAGGGGATTTAAGAGACAGCTCAGGGGTTAAGAGCCCGGCCGCTCTTACAGAGGACCTGAGTTCAGTTCCCAACACCCACCTCAAATGGTTCACAACCATCTGTAACTCCAGCTTCAGAGGATCCAACACAGGAAACAGAAACAAAATAAATCTAATAATAATAATAATAATAATAATAATAAAAGGCTGGAGGCGGGGCAAGGAGTTTAGTGAGAGATACAGGAGATCACCAACAAAAATAAACAGTATGAAAATGCCATAAGGAAACAGGCTAACTTCATATACTAATTTAAATATGTGTGCATGTATTGTGGTAGCTTGAATGACAATGGCCCCCATGGACTCATAGGGAGTGCCATTATTGGAGGTGTGGCTTTGTTGGGAGAAGTGTGTCACTGCGGGAGGGTTTTGAGGTTTCAGAAGCTCAAGCCAGGCCTGGTGCTCACCCTCTTTTCCTGCTGCCTGTTGGATCCTGATGTAGAGCTCTCAGCTACCTCTCCTGCACCATGTCTGCCTGCATGTCACCGCGCTTCCCACCATGATGACAATGAACTAAACCTCTGAACTGTAAGCCAGCCCCAATCAAATATCTTCCCTTATAAGAGTTTCAGTGGTCATGGTGTCTCTTCACAGCAATAAAACCCTAAGACATGTAGATATGTATGCATATCTGTCACACTAATTGTGTGATGTGATACAACTATAATTAATTCTTAAAAGGGGAAATCAGCACAGCAATTGTACCATTAGTGGAAGTACGAGCAAAGAGAACATATATTAACACACTTTAAAATAATTATTTAAGCCAAAGGGAAATCGGCACAGCAATTAAGTCACACCTTGGAAGACAAGACAAGAGAATAAATGACAGTGTCTCTGGGATCCTGTCAAAACTTAAATCTGCACAGGAGAGGGATGCCTTTGGGACTTTCATTACTAAATAGCAAAATGTGGGTACATGTTGAGTTTGGTATTCCATTCCAAAATTTAAAAATGTTCTGGGTATGATGGCATATCTATAATCCCAGCACCAGTGAAGTAGAGGCAGGAGGATCAAGAGCTCAAGGCTAGCCTCAACTACATAGTAATTTTGAGGATAACCTGGGCTACATGAGACCACGTCTCAAAAACAAACAAAGAAACAAAATCCCAAGAATTTATAATCAATGAAGCCAACATAAAGAGAAGCCTGGAGAGGAAATAATAAAACCTAGAATGGATTGAACAAGGTAGAAATGGGAAACAGAGTTAAGAAACCAGAGTCCATTCTCTGGAAAGAGACTAAACAGAGAGCCTGGGCTGGTGGTTAAGCACACTGGCTGCTCTTGCAGAGCAGGGCATGACAGTTCACACCTTTAACGCGAGGAGGAGGGTCTCAGTGAGTTTAAGGCCACCCCTGCTGTCTATGTGGTGAGCTCCAGAACAGCCGGGGCTACATAGTGAGACCCTGTTTCAAAAACACCAGAAAAGATGGAGGACAACAGAGGAAGAGATCCAAGGTCAACCTTGGGCTTCCGCACACACATACAAGTAGGTGGGTTGCTGTGGGACGGTCTATATGTCAAATTGCTCTGATTGGTCAATAAATAAAACACTGGTTGGCCAGTGGCCAGGCAGGAAGTAGGTGGGACAAGGAGAGAGGAGAATTCTGGGAAGCAGAAGGCTGAGGCGGAGAGACACTGCAGCCGCCGCCATGACCAGCAGCATGTGAAGACGCTGGTAAGCCACCAGCCACATGGCAAGGTATAGATTTATAGAAATGGATTAATTTAAGCTATAAGAACAGTTAGCAAGAAGCCTGCCATGGCCATACAGTTTGTAAGCAATATAAGTCTCTGTGTTTACTTGGTTGGGTCTGAGCGGCTGTGGGACTGGCGGGTGACAAAGATTTGTCCTGACTGTGGGCAAGGCAAAAAAACTCTAGCTACAGTGGGTACTCTAACACACCCACTCACACACACATTTAAGATCACACTTTTTGTTCTACGGGCAAAGCCATTTGAGGGGTCCTCAGGTATTGGTGAGAACGGCCGTCATTCTGATTTAGAGACAGACAGATGCGTTTGAAGTCCTCCCATGACCTCTTCAAGGAGACACATCCCTGAAAGCCCACAGGAGTTCATTCACTACAGTTTCTCTAGTTACGTATTGATTTCTTATCTTTTCTTCACGTTATATACCTGAAATAAAATAATTTTTATTCATTAAAAAGTCTGAAGAGCTGCAGCGGCCAGGACCATGCCGATGCCTGTGGTCTGTGGTCCACGTTACTACTGAAGGCCAGGGGGTTGTCCACAGTCTGTGCTACCACCTGAAGCCATGCTGATGTCTGTGGTCTGTACTGTGGAAGCCCATGACCCTTGTCTGTGGAAGCCCATGACCCTTGCTGGCCCTGACCGTAAAGGGCAAGGAAGTTTTTTTTGCAGTAGTATGGATGACGGCAGACTCACAGCTGAGAATGAGAGACAGAAGGCTTCCGAGACAATCTCTCTCCCCCATCCCCACCCCCAAATTAACATCAAAGAAACAGTCTAGACACGAAGCCATTGAAGAGAACTCTTTAAAAATGAGATAAGGAAGCTGGAGTGTAGCTCTTCACAGCTGATGGCTTCTGGTGGGGTGGGGGTGGGGAAGGACTCGGTTTTCTTGAAAGGACTGGCCACTGTTCCTTAAAGGAACTACCATGGTCCAGTGAGTATATGGGCAACACAAATCGGACAACCACCTTCTCCTCCTCCTCCTCCTCCTCCTCTTCCTCCTCCTCTTCCTCCTCCTCCTCTTTCCTCTTCCTCTTCTTCTGCTTTGGGGGAGATCACAAGAATTGGGGGCAGACCTGGGAACTGGCTAAGTGAATGTGATCCAGTGCACTATGTGAAATTTCCAAATAATCAATTAAAATATTATGTTTAAAAAAAAAAAGTCCGAAGAGGCCTAACCTCATAGTTGGTCTTACATCGTTTCAAGAGGCAAACTGTCTCATCATTTCTCCCCGATCTTAGGCTGTCATCTCCCAGTATATGGCGACAGCAATAGCTGAGGTAGGTTTTCTTAATGGGACACCAGACAACTAGTTACAAATTAACTTGTCTAAAATAATAAATGTCACCAACTGCTGCCCCAAGTTTATCTCCAAGGTATTATTAAACACAAATTCTCTTCATTAAGTATTTGTGGGGGTTTTTTGTGCATATGTGTGCATGCACACATGGATACGAGTGACCACAGAGACCCGAAGAGGACATCGGCTCTCCTGGAACTGGAGTTACAGATCGTTGTGAGCTGCCCTGTGGGTGCTGGCCACCAACCCTCTGCAACACAGTAAGGACTCTCATCTGCTGAGCCGCCTCTCTGGCCTCAAGTCTCTCTGGAAGAAAGAACTGACGTGCGCTGTGGAGATGGCTTACTTGGCAAAGAGCTGGCTGCGCAGGCCAGAACAGACGTCCTCTAATTGTGTCACAGTCTTAAATCCCGTGACAGTGACATGCACTGGCTTATTCCTACTTTTTGCATACATGCTTGAATTTGCATGTGTTTGTACTTGTGTGTGTTGGGGGCAGGGGAATGCACGTGTGTGTGGTTCGTGTGAACCAGAGGGCAACACTGGGTGTCCTAAATCATCCATGTTTTGAGACAGTTTCTCACTAAATCCGGAGCTTACTGATTTGGCTAGACTGGCTGGTCAGCAGGCCCCAGGGGTCCTGTCTCCCGGTGCTGAGATTTTAGATGCATAACTACTCAGGGCTTTTAACATGGGTGCTGGGGATCCAAATTCAGGTGCTGTGTGCTAGGGTTTCACTATGCAGCCCTGGCTGGCCTGGAACTCACTATGTAGACTATGCTGGCCTCAAACTCACAGAAACCCACTTACTTCTGCCTACAAAGTGCTAGGATTAAAGGTGCGCACCACCACCTCTGGCTCCCATCCCACCTTCTTAAAGCTCCTTTGGGGCCACGCCCCCATTTACCAACATGGATCTTTCTGCATGCTAGGGCTGCCTCCGGCTCCCACATAACCACTTATTTATTTGTTTGTTTGTTTGTTTGTTTTGGTTTTTTTTTTTTTTTTGAGACAGGGTTTCTCTGTGTAGTTTTGGTGCCTGTCCTGGATCTCACTCTATAGACCAGGCTGGCCTCGAACTCACAGAAATCTGCCTGGCTCTGCCTCCCGAGTGCTAGGGTTAAAGGCGTGCGCGCCACCATGGCCCAGCCCACTTAATCACTCTTGACCTGAGTCCCCAGCCAGAGCAGCTCATAGTAAATGAGGTGACCTTCAGCCTCTGTTCCTCCTCTTTCTTAAGCAAAGGGAAAGGAAGGCCTGTGGGCTTCCTAACAAGCATAAGCTGTGAGCCGCTCTATTCCCTGTATACATGCAAATCCCTAGCATCATCATCTAATGTCCTTCCTGTCACCACCTACTTCTCTCCCAGGGCTCAGTGGAGAGATAATTGCCAGTGTCACTCATCTGGATGACAACAGAATAAGACTCTATCCTCCTGCTGCTCTGGGTCTACCACGGAGCAGCCACATCCCTCCACTCATACCAGCAGAAACCCCCTGCCCTGCTGGTTTCCCACAGCCTGCACTCCGAATTCTCCAGGAGGAAACGCCACTTCCCTTCCACCTACCAGCCATCTGGAAACCAAAGATGGTGGGCACAGAGTGCCGGGGAGGAGCTGCCGAAATGCTCATGGTGTAATTGGCACCTTGTTGGAAGTGGAGGCACACTTCTGGGGTCCTGCTGTCTGTGGTCACATTGACTGTCTCCTCATGAACGGATTCCACAGCATGTGGCTGCTGTCTTTCGATGTGTATCTTTAGAAGAGGAAAGACAAGAGAATTCACCATGACTCCAGACAGAATGACCGAGACGGCATGGTGCTTGGCGCTGTTTCTCTGCCGTCCCATTTCAGACACTGGGTAACCAGGGAGGAAGGATAGGGCCAGCTCTGCCGTGAGGGACCTGAGGACAAGCTCTAATCATCCCCGGGACCAAGCTGTGGTGGTCCTAAGCTGTGATGGAAATGAGATCTCTATTTGGGAGTGCTCTCCTGACCACAAATGACCAACAATAAAAGGAGGTCCCGGTACCTAATCAGCGTATACTTCCAGCCTTGCTGAGGGAGAAAAGTACAAGTCCTTAGAAATAAGCCACATGAGGACGCCAAACATAAATGCATGTCCCACAATCACACTCTGTTGGATGGCGTATACGATAGACATAAAATATGCACATATCTTAAAAATCCCATCCACTTTCTTAAAGGGACACTGGAGCTGGAAAACAATCAGACTGATCTTCCCGTTTCTCTTTCAAACCATACAGTTGGTAGACAGCAGCACTAACCAGTCTGATTTGGTGGTTGTTCCTAGTTAGGGAAACATCATCATTCTACTTTCATGGTTACTTGTGCGATAATAGCATATAAGACCCATTAAAGAAGATAATTCTTTTCTAATGAAAGGAGTTTAAAAGTATCTTCTAGTCAGGCCTCGGTGGTGCACACCTTTAATCCCAGCACTCGGGAGGCAGGGCCAGGTGGATCTCTGTGAGTTCGAGGCCAGCCTGGTCTACAGAGTGAGATCCAGGACAGGCACCAAAAACTACACAGAGAAACCCAGTCTTGAAAAACCAAAATAGTACCTTCTAAACTTGTCTCAGGGTTGTGTTGGCTCTAACAGAAATGTCAATGTATGTTTTCAACACTCTTTGCTTAAGGAGGTATCCCAGGAAAGTTTACAAAATGAAGGATGTTCACCCAGACTTGAATATGTGAGCAAGACTCTGTCTACACTCAGTGATTAACTATGCTGTTTCGTAAGTTAAAATGGTCATAGATTGTTATTATACATTTGCAAATAAATGTGATTTCACTTTCTGTGACTGAAGGAAGGGAAAGAGAGCTGAAGGGGGAGGGAGAGAGGGAGGGAGGGAGGGAGGGAGGGAGGGAGGGAGGGAAGCAGCAGGAGGCTGTGGGGGACGAAGCTCCTATGTAGACCAAGTCCTCCTGGCTCATGTCTCCACTTCGGCATTAGCAGGGCAAAGCAGCTCACTTGACTTACCACGTACACGATCTTGGAGTTTATGCCCTCTGGGCTTATTTGCCACCTCACACAGGTGTCATTAAACAGAGACACGTTATGAATTTCTATCATTACTTCTGGAACAGAAAAAAGAAAAGAGAAGAATTGGCTCATGAACTGCATCAGAGGGCTTTGGGGAAATCCTAGTGGACGGGGTGCATCTGTCCAGCTGGTGTCTCCCCTGCGCACCAGTCACACTCCGATTCGGAAGCAGAACTGAGCAATCCAAGCAATCCCAGATGGTTCATCATGAATGAGCCTGGCCCACTGCCTGGCCAGGCAAAGGGTGAGGAAGAACTCCAACTGTGACTAGCCTGATGGGCCACTGGGTGCCACTGGTATTCCATCAGGGAGGCGGTCCAAGGGCCAGAACCGAGTTCTGATTGGAAGCCCGGCTTCTGCCTCCCTTATCTTACCCTGGGTGGTAGGGCATTCACTCAAGCAACCAACCGCTGTTCGCAAAAGGAAAATGTGTCACCACAAAGGCAGATTCCTCAGGAGAAGCTTGCGATGAACTGAGTTAAGTTCTCCCTAGAGTCCCGATTCACCCTGGGATTCCTCTAGCAGAAACCGTGTGATCTGATCTGGTGGGAAGCCATGTTTTCTCTGGGTTCTGCTTGTTCTAAATAACCCTCACTTCTGTTCCATGTGATGAATCTGGCAATGTGGGAAAACATAAGGGTTCCCTTAAGTGAGATCGTTTCCAATGGACCCAGCCAGCCAATCACTTACAAGGCGTTCAGTGTGGTATGGGGAAAACCCACCTTTCCACTTCTTAAAGTCAGATTTCCTACAGATATGCAAAGCTATTTCTAGTTGCAAATGACATGATCTTATTTGCATACACTCCTAAGGAATTAAAATTTAAAAAACAGACAAACAAAAAAATCCATGAAGGGTAAGAAAAGAGTTCAGCAAGGTTAAGGGACACAAAGTTGATAATCATTTCACAATAGAGATGAATGATTAAAGGAAATTAAAGCCATTTCTTTTACAATACAATCCAAAAGGAGGAAAGGAGAAAACAAAACACTCTTAAGTTAGGCACATGCACTAGCCTCCCTGGAGACAAGAATCCTCACTTCATCCAAAGGGAAGGGAATACTCCACCGCCCTGTTTCTTGGGACCCAGACATCTCAGAGGTTCCTCGGTCTAGTGTGGGCCAGCCCTGAACATGCCGTGATGACATGACGGTGCCACGCCTCCTGATCCGGGGCTTCCTTGCTGTGACGCATACTCCCCAGCACATGCAGCCTGGAGGAGGAGAGGAGGTGAACCCTCTGAGGACCGGAGCTAGAGGATCATCACTGCCCTTTGTTCCCTGGAGGCGCTGTCCTAGGTGTCTGAGTTTCCATAGCCTTTCGGAATGCTGGACCAGCAGTGGGCAGTCCCTCCTACCCAGGGGAGACGGGGATACTGTGGCATCCTCACACTGGTTCTTTCCTTCCCTTATTACCCCTCTGGGTCCCGGATCCTGCTTCCTGGGGTTTTACTCCCCGTTACATAATAATACAAACTCCTGGTTCTGTGTTGGGAGAAACTCAAGGTTAAGCCCTGCGTCAAGATAAGTGAGAAGGCTGCTTGCCTCTTAAGCACGAGTACTCGGGTTTGAGCCTCAGGACCCAGGCTTGTTTGCTTGCGTATTCATGCACTGTGGTTAGCCTGATGGGCCACTGGTGTTCCACTCAGGGAGGCTGGAGCAAGGCCCAGAACCGGGCTTGGTGTTACATGCTTATAACCCCAACACTAGGAAGGTGGCAATTGCTGGATCCCTGTCCCACCTAGTAGGTGAGCTCCAAGTCAGTGAAAGACCTCATTTCAGAAGCCCAAGTTTGGTTCCCAGCATCCACATCAGACAGCTCACAACCACCTATAACTCCAGCTCCAGGGGATTTGTTACAGGCACCAGCAGCAATCACTGCACACACCCATACAGACTCATTCAAATTCAAAAGGCAAAACAGATGGTTCCTGTGGAACAATATCCAAGGTGACCTCTGGCCGTGTGTGTGTGTGTGTGTGTGTGTGTGTGTGTGTGTGTGTGTGTAAATGAAAACTATAATTCTTCTAACTAGCTCCTGTTTCTTCCCTATAATAAATCTCTTCTCAGTCACCAAGAGGAAAAAAGAGCCTGAACCTTAAACACCTGCAGAATTAACTCATTTCTCCTGTACAGAACCAAAATCAAATTTGGATTCACCTGGTCTACTGATCTCTATGTCCATCAGTGATTTTATACATTTACTAAATCATTGTATCCTGGCATTATCTAGAATCTATGTCCCCCCACACCTGTTTTTGGGTAAAGCCAAGCTACCTATTAATAAGTGAGAATAAACTGAGACAGAGAACAAAACACAAATCTCTTTAGAGATATCAGAGTATCAGCTATGAAGCCTAAAAAAAAAAATCCCTAAGTTTCTACACCAATGGTTCTCTTCAGAACACAGGTAATGTGAAAAAAATAATCCAGTTACGAGCATGAATAAGCAAAGGAATGTAATGACCTTGTTGGTTCACCTCCTTGGGTAGCAAAGATGATGCTGATACCAGTGTACCGGCCTGGAGACACTTCAAGTGTTACTGGTCACTTCTGCTGCTGCCCTTCAAAGCCCCAGAACTTTCAACATCTCTGCTCACTCCTACGGCCTTCTGATGATCACTCAGCAGCTGGTCCAGAGGAAACGGCCCCCCTCCCCATCTTCTCCCTGAATTGCCAATAAAGCCAACAGCCTTCCTATTTGGGGTGCCTGTGTCACCCAAGTAGAGATTAGAAAACGGTTTCCTTTCTTGCTCTTCCTTTTTGCTCATTCACTATGACAACTGTAAATGACATCTCAAAGATGCCATCTGCCTCCAGCCTATGCCATGCTCTGCACAGATGGGACCCAGATCTGATTATAGAGATGCCAGATATTCCATCCCAGAGAGTAGCTGAGCACAGTTGGTGACTCTTCCCACCAAGTACCTACAAAAAGGTGAAAAGACTTTTTTTTTTTAATAAAAATACCAGGTGTTAACTCTATACATCAGTGCTGTCCTTTGAAAACATGACACTTGTACACTAATTCTAACTATGCCAATAACCGAAAAACAAATACAGGCTGATAAGATGCCTCAGGGGATAAAGGAAAGGCTCTTGCCAACAAGCCTGATGACCTGAGTTTGATCTTGAAACCCTGAGGAGAGAACATATTCCCATAGGTTGTCCTCTGACCTCCCCATGTGCACAGTGGCATGCATGCTCCTACACATACACGCCAAACAAACGTCATAAAGATTGAAAAGAAGGGAAAAGGAAAAGAAGAAAACACATGGAGGAAAGCCTTTGAAGCAGCCTCCTCTTCCATTCACTGCTCACGACGTACAGAATTGCTGCCCCATGCCAAGCATCCTACTGCGTCTGTTTGACTGTGTCAAACACTGGGCTGTGAGGAAGACTAGAGCTCAGGTCTTCCCTCAAGGAGCATGTTGCCTAATGGAAGCGGCAACACAGATGCAGGTAAATTGCAACTCAATAGCGTTATCACAGGATCCTGACAAATACTGAAGGGTACAGAACCGGAAGATAACAGCTCTCACTGGAGGTCCCGGGAATTTCAGGTTGGTGCGGGAGTGAGGCTGCCGAGGAAGCACAGGATGGACCTGGGGAAGGGACTGCTTGCCGGACTAAAGACAGACACTCCTCCAAACAGAGACAAGCTGTGGGGTAATGATAGGGACAGTTTTCCATTTGGAAGGAAGCACTAGAGTGCAGAAGAACCGGAGGTCATAAAATAGAACATAATACTGTTTACTCAATGACAACTATATGTCAGGCTCGGACTGCTCCTGACAGACGTGATCTCATTTTCCCAGCAGTCATAAGAAGCAATAATAAAACCAATAAGAGTGAACACTTATTGAGTTATAACTATGGACCAGAGAATATGCACAGGACTTGAACCTTCAAAATAACCTGACGACTAGACATCACCATGTCCATTTTATAGACCTGAGGCTTAGAAGTTAAGGAACCTGCAAGGGATAGACAGCACGAGGGACTGAGTCTGGACTCACAATTAGACTTGTCACACCCCACCACAAAGAGCCTTTGCACTGAAGTAGTTACTCAGGCAGGAGGTTAGGACATGAAATTGGGGTACTGTATTATGAAACAAGAAACAATTCTGAAGGAGATGAATGGGAGGTGAGGAAACAGAACAGAGAAGAGTCCAGGCTGGCTGCCAGCCCTTGAGCTCAAGGGTTGGATGAATGGCCCTTCACTGCTCTCCAAAGGAACATGAGAGGAGGCCGGGCGGGCCTGTAAAAGAGAGCGATGAACTGTATTGAGGACATGCTAGATAGGAGCTGTCTGCTGACTACCCACTGGAAAAATCGCCTTAAGAGCCATGGATTTGCGGGTGAAGTAGAAGACTCGGGTGAGTGAAAGACACGCAAGTAGGTCATGGAGAGGGGCTCAGTGGCAGAGCCCAGAGAAACACTGATCCCAAGGAGACCCAGGGAACAAGGGTAGTGCAGGGAAGAGAGGGGAGTGACTAAGAGAAGTGTGCCCAGGAAGTGAAGGGAAGGAAGGACATGGAGGCGTGTCTCTTCCTTAGAGCAGCCTCCCCCATCTCACTCAGCTCCCTTACTCCACCAGGTAGGGTGTCGCATGCCATGAAGGCCCAGAGGCAAGGTCAACCTCCCTCTCTCCCATCCTTCATCTTTTCTCCTTGACGAAATGCCCACCAATGCTTAGACTCAAGGTTTGACCTTGGGCAGAAGTAGGGAGAGCAGGCCTTGGATCTGTCCAGTTGTAAGACACAAAGACATCTCCAATTTGACAATAAGAAGGGCCCTACAGGGGCTGGAGAGATGGCTCAGAGGTTAAGAGTACCAACTGCTCTTCCAGAGGTCCTGAGTTCAATTCCCAGCACCCACATGGTGGCTCACAACCATCTGTAATGAGATCTGGTGCCCCTTTCTGTATACATATAAATAAATAAATAAATAAATAAATAAATCTTTTAAAAAAAATAATGAAAAAGAAAAAAAAAAAAAAAAAAAAGAAGGGCCCTACAAGGCTTGGCTATAAACAGTCTAATTCTTCCTTTCTTTGTGTTAAGTCCTAAGTTAAAGTTATATAAAATGGGTAAAAGTGGCTAAATTCCTAAAGTGTTACATAGTTTATGGTGATTTTTTTGTGGCATATGAATAAATAAATGTTGATATGTTCATTGGGTGTTAATTTTTTGTGCACATTAGGAAAAATATATCTAGCTCATCAAAGTCATGATATACCACATACTACAAAGAATTCTTGGTTGGTACATTAAAACTACAAGTTTAAGTTATTTGTCAGGTATCTTAGTTAGGGTTTCTATTGTTGTGAAGAGACACATGACCACAGCAACTCTTATAAAGAAGACATTTAATCGGGGTGGCTTGCTTATGGTTTCAGAGGTTCAGTCCATTATCATCAGGACGGGTGCACGGCAATGCGCAGGCAGATGAGGTACTGGAGGAGGAGCTGAGAATCCTACATCTTGCAGGCAACAGGAAGTCGACTGTGACTTTGAGTGAAGCTTAAGCAAAAGACCTCAAAGCCTGCCTCCACAGTGACACACTTCCCCCAACAAGACGATAACTACTCCAACAAGGCCACACCTCCTAATACTGCCACATCTTTTGGGGGCCCATTTTCTTTCAAACTACCACAGGGTAATAGATGTCCATAGACTTACCTGCTTGGGAGGCTAAGGCAGGGAGGTCTCTTGAGAACAGTAGTTTGAGACAAGCCTGAGCAACATAGCAAAACTCCATCTCAAATGTGCCTGTGTGTATAAAATGTGTGAATATATTATGTATATGTGTGTATATACATATGTATATATATTATTTTTTAAAAACAAGCTATGTAAATAATTCATTAGTTATGTCAAAGATCATCAGGGTGGTATGCAAATATTTCAAGCTTGGAAGAACATGAATAGGAAAGTGTGGGATTCCAGGGCTCCCAGACTTGAGTTCAAATCATAATTCCATCAAGTACTAGTTACAGAATGACCCTAAGAAAATTGCTTAACCTCCATGAGTCTTAGATCACTCAGCTATGAAAAACTTGCTTTCCAAGTTTTTCTCTGAGGAGGAAATGAAGCCAAGCATCACGGGCCCCAAGAGAACCCTGGGTGTGCAAGCTGGTGTTCAATGAGCATCATAATGATGTTGGTAGTTCAAATATTATACACATATTCAGATCCAACCCAGTTGTGAGTCTATTGTAGTAATGTGTCAGTTCACCCCAGACGGCCTTTCTTGTCCATTTAAAATGTACAGAGCTGCAGGTGAGCACTCACTGGGCTGGTGAGGAGGGCTGACAAGCAGGAGGGACAGAGGGTCACGGAGCTTGGTAGCATTTGCAGTAGCACAGCATAGGGCGGGTTATGGAATGCAGAAAGGATCCTGGCAGATCAGCAGTCTGTGTTTCAAATGAGTTGTTACTCCCCCAAGAGCATGAAGTGATGGAGAGACAGAGCATGGAGGGTTAACCTTGTAATTATTAACCCAGACTCCAAACATAAAAGCTAAATGACCTGTGTAGAATGGAAGCCGGGAACAGCCTTATCAGGAACAAATCAGACTCTTTGATCTTGAAGCAAACTGACTCACTAACATGAAGCTTCCACCTTGGGGTTTTTCCAGACACTAACACACTTGCTTAATTCCCTGCTGTCTGGAATTTCCAGTTCAAACTAGCCTGAGAGAAAAAAAAAATCCCACCACCTTCGGTCTTAGGGAAGAAGGTCCGACCACCTCGTTAGAGTTCATACTCCACGAAGAACATTACAGATCTGTGCCTCTAACGCAGAGGCAGGGGGCTCCAAAATAGTTTACAGTAAAGAAAAACAGTCTGTGTCCAGAGAAGTCATTCCACCCAGCTTGGAATTAAAGACAGAAAGAGGAGTGGATGGAGTGAAAACCAGAAAGGATGGTGATGGGAAGAGGCTAAAAGTGGACCCTGAATGAAGTAAATACAAACTACACAGAGTGATGTGGGGGGATCAAGACATTGATGAAAAACAGGGCAAGAAGAGAAGAGGGGGGCAGCTAAGCAAGAGTCATGACAACCAGCATCTCTCACTTTTCCAGAAGCTTCTCCAGCCTCCCCTTCCATGAATTAATCAGCATGTAAATCGCTCCCTTTATCTGTGAAAATCGAATTTAGCTGCCAATCGTGATGGAGGGCACACAAGCCTCCTCACAGAAAGAGCCTCGCTCCCAGGGAGAATGCCTTTTTCTCTCCTTAAATCAAAGCTTGCATAAGCCCATGGACAGCTGCAGCTGGAGCCACAGACTTAGTGAAAGGTGGAAGGCTGAGGACAGTAATTATAATTAGCGGTTACATAACATGTTTGTTCTTCAAAGTGCTGTGCAAGGACCAGCTAATTAATAGCTTACTGTGCTCCATGCTGATCCCCTGGTTTTTCATGTAGTGACTAATCCTTGTGCCCCCACTGAATTCTGAACGGTGGCAGCAGAGGGCCCTGAGCAGGGGGGCAGGTGGTGAAGAGGCCATAGCTCTACCCAGCTCCCTCTCCAAGCCATTCCTGGGGAAGAGTTCCTGGAGAAAGCTGCCTTACCCTCCAGATAAATCTTGGCGGTGCTGATAGAGATGTGACAGAGACCATCAGTCTAGGTCAGTTTGCTCTTAGAGAAACCAGAAGACCGGGCCCCGGAAGTCCTTGGTCTTTGCTACAAGCTTGGCCTTGCTTCTCTGCTCAGCCAGCCAGACATCCCCAAAACAAGCTCGCCTAGATCTCTGGGTTCTCACCTTCTGTTTTCTCCCCACTCTCTAGCCTACATCTTTTGTATTGATGGTGGAGATAGCTAAATGTAAGGATTTTTCTGTCTACTCCAAGGATTCTTTACCCACAGACTTCAGCAGTCTGTGCTGGTTTGAATTTCTGTACAAAACATTACAAGGACATATGAACATGCATTTCCTTGGGGAGAGGTCTGATTCTTCTACCACACTGTAAATTCCAAAGAATTAGTACTTCACACATAGTGCACACTAAATAGACATCTTTGGGATGAATGGATGGGTAGGATAGATATCCTCAAATTTCTCTCTCTCAGGGATGGGGAAATGGTTCAGTCCATGAGGTGTTTGCCATACAAGTGTGAGAACCTAAGGCAGACACCCAGAACTCCCATAAGAAAGTAGGGTACGGTGAGCTACTCCTGCGGTCTCGTGCTAGGAAGACAAACACAGACAAACCCCTGGGTTTCACTGGCCCGTCAGATTTTTCTAATTGGTGATCTCTGAGCCAATGAGAGACCCTGTCTCAAAAACATAATAATACGGTGGATGGGTCCTGAGAAACAACACCTGAGGTTAACTTCTGGTCTCCATGTACACCTGCACACACATGTACAAATACACCTGCATAAACATGCACACACATGTACAAATATACCTGTATAAACATGCACACACATAAAGAAAGAAAAATATAGCTAAAGACATAGTGTTGTTAGGGGATAATCTTTTCATACACTGTGAAGATGTGTCTCTGCCAAGTCACCTTATGATTGGTTTAATAAAGAGCTGAAAGGCCAATAGCTAGGCAGGAGAGGATAGGTGGGACTTCTGGGCAGAGTTAGGAACTCTGAAAAGAAGAGAGGCATGTCAGACATACAGTATGGAGAAGAGGTAATGAGTCATGTGGTAGACTGTAGATTAATATAAACAACATAAATAATACACATATGTATGTATGTGTGAATGAATACAATAGATTATTTCTTACCTTTAAAAAGTAAGGAAAATGGCATATCCTACATTGTTGGTGTACCTTAAAAATAGTATGTTAAAGCTGGGCGATGGTGGCACACACCTTTAATCCCAGCACTTGGGAGGCAGAGGCGGGTGGATCTCTGTGAGTTTGAGGTCAGTCTGGTCTACAAAGTGAGTTCCAGGACAGCCAGAGCCACACAGAGAAACTCTGTCTTGAAAAAGCAAAAAA